GAGTACTTGAAGTGTGGTCAATGACCTGCAGTTCTAATTTTATGTATTAACTTCCTGTTACTAATATAGTTGGCGTAAGAATTAATCATTGTACTTAACTTGAACAAACGCACCATGAAACTATTTCTATCAAAGTCAAATTAACTCTTTACAAAGGTAAGCCAGGCTTGTCAGTATGGGTGCAACCGTCAGAGAAAATAATAACAGTAATTGCTGCTCATCTTAGTTATTGGACAAATCTTAAATATGGTTGGAACGACCTGGGTATATAACTCTAATTTTCAACTGCAAGTTTTATGAAATCTAAGTAGAAATCAAGTGACTCTAATGAAAGTTTAGCTCCTGAATAAAGATGAATCTGCATCCTATGAAAATGTCCTAATTCCCCTCGTTTCCTGGAGAAATCTTTGCAGAGAGTCCATCCTGTGGAAGTCTCTCCCGGGTGACCTCCTTATGAGATGGGGACGCCACACACAGCAGCTGTCTGCCTGGAAAGCAGGAGGCAGGCAGGACCCTGGTGAGGACCCAAACTCAGGATAGCCTGTCTTCCCTCTCCTCCTCAAGCCACCATCCTTCCAAGCTGGGCAAACCCAGGACGCACTAGGGAGAGTGCTGGCCAGTGATATTTATCATAATGGGGAAGTGATCCAAAACATAACTGTAGATTCTCCACAGAATTTAACCATGTTCACTGCAAATTGACTTTTTCAGTCTATAGAAAATAGATTTGTCTCTTCCCTGGAATGTGTGCTACTTTGGAATGGGTTGTTGAACCTTCTTCCCTCTGATGGTCATTGCTGTATGTCTACTTAGCTAAGCCGTGGTCTCCAGTTATTCAAATACTCTGGAAGATCTACTTGCTTTTCTACTAGGTAAAGTTAAGAAAAAAGTCTCTGGCCTAGAAAACAACTGTACTTGTCCTTTTGCCTGAAGCACGTCTAGAAAACACACCTACTCTTGCGTGGGGAAAAAATGTCTGGTACCATCCTCCAGTCCAGGAACATACACTCCTTTGGGGAAAAAAGTGAAAAACTGTATTTGAATTGAACAGAAATTCAGGTATTCCACCTGGAATTGGCTATTTCCATAATTAAAGATGAGAGAGTGCATCCTGAAAATACTTGCAAATAGCAAAGCTTATAGGTACGAAATAAAACACTAAAACAGGAGCCACACCACAAACTGTTCCTTTCTAGAGGACCTTCAACCATCTGGCATAAAACTAAACCCTAAATGCTGAAGGAACTTCCAACAGAAGTGCCTATGGGAATGCAGCTGTAACTGTCTGTTCCAGAGGGCACTGGCTTCTTTGATGGGCATTCAGAACAATTACAATTCAAATTGTAGAGCATTTGTCAACCCCTGCAGTCGGCATGAATCACTGAAATTTTAACAAACACATCAGAAACACCTTGGGGAATGTTCCTGTCTTTTAAAGAGATTTTAAAGTATTTGATAAATTCTAATTTTTCTAATAAAATTTTATCATCTCAAGGGGGGTTTCAAGAAGAATTTTGAAATTCAGTTTAATTACCGATGTTTTTATCTCCCTCCTCACCAACAATGATTTCCATTACAGTATAGGCGAGAAGAGGTTTCATAATGTGCTTAGAAATTCAGAGCTTCCGGGGAAAAGATACCGAGAAACTGGGCTGATTAAGACTCATGAATAACACATGTTTGTTAAGATGAACCCAAACCTTGCTCACATCCCTGAATACATAAGAATTCATGAGAGATACACACTCAAACACTCAGTTAGTCTCCCTTTTCTTCAACCTCCTTTTTCTTTCCAAGGAAAAGATGAATTGGGACACTTTCTAGCAGGAATGTTCTAAGACATAATATATCAATGAGAAAATTTCCCGGAAATGTGCAGATTCTTTCCTAGATCTTAAATCTATTAAATCCAAGCCCCTTAAACAGTGTCCACAAATCTCAGCTACCACTGAGTGCTATGTATCAGGCTCTTCATGGATCTAGTAATTCATTTAATCCACACAAATTCCCTCCATACTATTAGCTCCAGTTCATAAAAAGATAACACCCTCATGAGGTGTTTGAATTCTCATTGTCCCAGGGTCAAAAAGTGGTGGAGCAGGATAATGCAACAGGTATTCTGATTCCAGAGTCTATATTTTCCTGCAATATATTTATTTTTTTTTATTTTAAGGATAAAAGGAGGGAAACATTAACAGACATACAACATTTTACAACATATCACAAGGACAATACAGAACCTATATTTTCAATCGCGAAAATATTGTCTCTCATGAGTAACTAGCTGTCCTGGCAGCTGTCTCTCCTCCACTCAGACAAGGGCCATTATGAAAGTTTGATGAGAATAAAAAATTGACCTTTTCATCTCAGAAATGGGCACACACACACACACTCCTCCCTTTAAAATCCCCCAACTACTGTCTCTCCTCACAGCAAGCTGAAGACAACCACATGTGTCTGCAGACCAGGTGGGAGGTCTCCCTGCTTCCAAAGCTGCTAACAGAAAACTCCAGTAAAACTAGAGTGAACAATCCAGAACACCCCAGAACACTCCCCTCAGTATATCCTCTTTCTGCTCTGTAAACTGACTCTCCTTTGAAGCTCTGATCTTCTGCTGTAGTGAAAGTGACAGCAGGTGGTATATCTTGCCACGTCTTATGAGTAAGCTGACTTTAATTTGGTCAGTGATTTACTTTTGTCTTTGACAATCAAACCAATTTGACCCTTTAGGTTTACTTACATGAAAATAATAAAATTCAAAGTACTCATGGTATTTAGACTCTCAATTCAGAGAAGTTATTCTAAACTTTACTAAAATGTTAAAATAATTCACATTTACTCCAATCAAATATTAGTACTAAAAGATATAAATGTGTATTGGATTCCTTGATAGACTATGTTATTAAAGACAAATTATTATAAACTGGTTCCCAACAGAGGGACCTCTATGGAAAAATGGAGCCACCTCTGATTCACCTTACTGATCTGCGTCCTTGCAAGTAGATGGGAAAACGTCTGTAGTGCAGCAGAATTAATGAGATACCTCATTTGCCCCAGATCTGCCAAGATGGTCCTAAGCTTTAAACACACCACAATCTGAGCATTGTTCTATATCCCCACGTAACCCTGATCTGAAAGGGAGGTAGAATGAAACCTTTACTTTTCATACTCTTCATTTGTAGCTGTATGAAAAACAAGAGCTTATCTGCCAAAAGATAAACACTGCCACCTGCTGAGATAAGAAAACAAATAAAAGTGCGCAAGCAACATGTTCCACTTGTCACCAGGGCAAGCAATGCTCTTTTCATTGCTCAGTAAAATACACTAACATCTGACATGCTGTGGCAATTACTTGATTAATATCCCACGAAAGGACTTGCAAAGGCAACTTCATCCAAAGCACTACATCCAACATTTCCCAAAAGGCAAAAACAAGCAGCATCTTCACCCTCACCGCACTTAAAGTTTACAGATAACTTTCTAGAATTCCCATCTCTTACAGATCCACAAATTAGACACAAACTCATTGTAAAACGTCCAGATAATACACTCTGAAACTCCAGACACAGAAAGAAATTTTAGTACTAGAGTGAAACTGGTGGTTTTGACTGATGCATAACTTAGGGAGTCCACCCTACAACTTTATCATGTCCTCTCAATATTCTAGGTCAGAACCCATGCTGCGAAGTTCTTCTAAGAACTCAGCTATTTCAGAGTAAAGAAAAGAGAAGATACAGAACAGTAGAAAAAGACTCAAAGTTAAACTTCTAAATATGCATCAATATCACTAAATGGGGTTATATCACTAATGTGGGTTATACTTCCTACTTATTAAGTGCAAAACTGATTTATGCAAAACTTTTATAAACTATACCGTATACACTCTTTGGAGTTTTTTCTATTTAAGAAAGAAGTAATATGATAAGGCAGAAAGAAACTGGAGTGATTGTCTAGAAAACTGTTTCAGTTTCCAGTGGCAGACTGATAATGAGATTACAGGTTACCACTTGTATTAAAGAAAATGAGTAATGGAGATATCCTAACCATAGTTCCTATAGTTAACGATATAACATCCTACACTTTAAACACATTAAGAGGCTAGATCTTATGTTAAGTGTTCAGATCACAAAAAGAGAAACAAAATTGTTTGTTGGAAGTAATAGATATGTTTATTACCTTGATTACAATACTGGTATCACAGGCATATACATATGCCCAAACTCATCAATGTGTATATACTATGTAGGTACAATTTTTCTTTTATTCATCATATCTCAATAAAGCTTTTAAAAAATATTCTATAAGATTATCATATATGTTCTTGTTCTAAATCTAGGCATCATTATTTTTAGCTCATGCTTTAACTTTTAACATTAATTTTTAATACTCATTTGAGCAGTTTTACAATCTTTTAAAAATACTTTTTAATATTCCAAACATACTTAGATTGATGGTTGATTATTTTCTCTCATGCATTGTTTTCCACCAGATTTTTAAGTTCAGTAGTTGGAATGCCTATTCTGTTCAATTTTGGCTTATAAATAAACTGCTTATTTACCATTAAAAAGCACCATTTTGGTTTGAGCAATCTTTCATTCTTACATCTGGTAATATGAGCAATGTAGTTGAGGATAGTGATATGTAATGTAACAACCACTGTTGATTCATATTATTTTTTCTTGAGACCCTGTATCACTTTGAATGTTCTTGCTTTGATGTGGTTATGTTCGTGATACTAATATGCTGCTACTGTTCTATTTTTTTTCCTTTTTTCGTTTTTTTCTGGTACCGGGAATTGAACTCACAACTTCTCGCTTGCCAGGCAGGCGCTGTGCCGCTGAGCTAAATCCCTAGCTCTACTATTCTATTTTTTGTTTGTTTGTTTCTTATTTACTACTCTTTTAAAAATAAAAAAGCTAAAAATTAAAAAAATAAAAAACACCATTTTATTTTCTTGATATCACCCTACAACATATAAGAGATATCCAAATCATAAGGGATTCTTCTCAGAAGAAATTTTTATTTAACAGAAATTGTAACAATATCCTTGAGAGTAGAATCTGGGGGACATACTGTGAAACTGTTCTATCTTTACTTATCAGCATCATGATGCTATTAAAATAAAACACAACTGAAATAATCAGTGGTACTCACTAAAAATTATGAAATCATCCCCATCAAATAATATCAAGAAATGATAAAAATTCACCAGTTTTAATAGTCAAATATGTCAAGTTAAGGACAGAGTGCTTGTATAAAAAGAGAAAGCTCATGAGAAGTGAACATGGTTTGCTTGTCCTGGGATGCTCGAGGTCTTGGTCGTAACTGCTTACGAGTTTGCTCATGGGCGAACGTCTTCAGTCAACACCATATTCTACAGGTATTATCCTTGCTACCTGGTAAAAACAAATTCACAGCCATATTTTAATTTTGTTGCCTTTATGTTCATTTATCACAAGTCAATGTTTGCCAGGACATTGATACCTCGCTATGCCCTAAATGTGCTAGAACCCTGGAGGCAGAGACCTTGGGCACCTCAGACATTCTTTAAGGTAAGATTTTTTTTTTTCCACAGTATCAGCCAGTCTTAAATTGAGCAGCTTCACAATCTTCTCACACCAGCATGACTCATGGTATCTTAGAGTTGGAGAAGACACAAGCACTCCAGCCAAGCCCTTGGTCCTCCCTTCACACCCTGCCGCCCAGTGGGAATACAGGAAACCTGGGTAGCTCCAGGTTTGGCTGACAAGCTCAGAGGAGGCAGAACATTCCACCTGGGAACACTTCAAAGTATCAGTAGGTTCTCCTCACTCTCAGTGGATGTGGCTGGCTCTTTCACCTTCAGGGACCAAGAACAGCACCTCAGTACAAGAAGAGAGAGGGGTACAGGGATGTGGAAAGCCTATACATATAGCACAGCCCAAGTTTTCAACACACCTCACATTTTTAAAAAAATAAAGACCACATTGGCTGCTTTTCTGCCAATTGGTGATCCTAAACCAAACTTAGACAGCCCCTAAAAAATGCACAAGGCTCATCACACCAGCTTACTCTGGAAAATAGGGCAGATACACTCAAATAAAGTCACTGCTCCACGGTGACAAGACAGAAATGTCAGCCCATTCTAAGGAGCTCCTTTGCCTGGTATAATTTAATACTTGATTCTTTGGAATACCCTAAAATCAACGGCATCTTAATGGAGCTCAGGAAGAGACTGCCAGCACTTACACCAGGCATAAGCAACTAATATTCCTTCCTAACTCTCCAGGCTCTGCTCTGATGCTGGTGCAGGGAAGGCCAGCCTCACATGAAGCAGGGGGAAGAAGGAAGCTGGCCAGGCTTCCTCCCCCTGCTGCCTCCCACAGCATCACCCTCCTGAGGACGGATCTGACATTATGTTTACAATAAAATAAGTGGACAAGGAGGCTAGTGCTTTATACCTGCTTTTTAGTTAACACAGGAAAATAATAAGCCCAAAGACAGTAGCCTATTATTTTAGAACTTAACCACAATGAAGAAGGGGCAGGGGGGTGCTAATTCTCCTGACCTTTTCAGTTGCATGACTAGGAAGGCCCTTAGCTAATATATGCGACCAAACGACTAGGGAACACTGAATTTATTAGATGACTTTGAACAACTGTTAAATTTACTCAACACAAAGAAAGTCAATGAGAAGTAAGCAGATTTGGTTTTCTGAGGCTGCTTAGAGTGTCCCTATCCCACCTATCATAGAACCCTTCTCCTTGCCATAGTATAAGAAGGGAGAGGGGTACAGGAATGTGTACAGCCATCTGCTAGAGGCACCAAGCTAACATATGATGACCTTTCTATTAGCGTCACAATGTAGATTAACCTGCTCTAAATCCACTTGCTATAAAATGTTGTTACTCTGAATAATTCACAGTGAGTGACTAATAATAGGAAAAATGCTCAATACATGCTCTTTTCCCAAAATATTCACTTTAAGAGGAAACATCTAGAGATCTACAGAGAAAGCAACTTAGCTCAAAGAGTAAATCTCTACTAAGCTATGAAACCAGCTGTAGCCAAGTTGGTCCTGACTTGTTTTGGTTACTACTGCTTACTGACATCAGCTGAATATGAACCTTTTAATCCCTGGAAGACTGGGAAAATGTACCAACCCACAAGGCAGGCTCTCAAATTGCTTATCTCGAGCAACTCAAACTCAGAGCTCATGAGGTCTTACAGAGAGTGGCGGCACTCATTCCTGTCGGTTCTGGTACAATTAAATAATGGGAAAAGAATGGCATGCCACAAGGAGACAGGGACCCAGGAAACGGGGTAGCGGTAGAGGTGAACTCCTTTTAGAACACAGCTTAGGAACGCTAACAGCCAATTTAAAAGGAAAGCCAGGTGTACTGTGAGTACTCCCCTGACCCTACCTGTAATGACTATGTTGCCTTGATAGTTGAAAGCACATGAAAAGATTTCATCCATGTGCCCCTCAAGAACCTGGAGACACTCGCCAGTGTATGCATCCCAGATTCGAGCTGTTTTGTCAGAGCTGCCAGTCAGGAGGCGATTTCCTTGGGGATTGAAAGAAATCTGGAAAAGAAGAGAAAGAGAAAGAGAAAGAAAGAAAGAAAGAAAGAAAGGAAGAAAGAAAGAAAGAAAGAAAGAAAGAAAGAAAGAAAGAAAGAAAGAAAGAAAGAAAGAAAAAAGAAAGAGAAAGAAAAAAGAAAGGAGAAAGAAAGGAGAAAGAAAGAAAGAAAGAAAGAAAGAAAGAAAGAAAGAAAGAAGAAAGAAAGATCACATTTGTGTAATAGTTTCCAATAAATTTTCAACACAAATAGGACATAACCAAGCACTTCTCATTTCCCCAGCCTTGTACTCATTTATTCTTACATACAATGATTTTTTCATAATGAGAAAAATATTACAGTGACATGAAAATTGAAATCTAGATGGGAAAAGTTTAATCATCTACCCCTGCCCAATTCTAAAGATGAAGACCAAAGCACTGCTATCATTTGAGCATTTCCCACCCAACTTCTTTCCAAAAGCCCATGCTGCCTTCCTTCCTCGTACAAAGAGAACCCTGTGGATGAAAAGCCAAGGCAGGGTCTATCATAAGCAAACCCCATGCCATCTCTGCAGCACAACTTTCAGTCATTAAAAGCATAGACTCCCCTTATCCCTGTGCCATAGAGTAAGTGAATGTCCAGGTCTTTCTCATCTATTGCTACTCAAAGCACAGCGCTTTCTCCATAATTACGTCTGAACACCTCCAGAGTACCAGGCTCCGTCAACTGGTATCTGAGCTGCAGTCAGATACCAATTGGTCCACCATTCATCTGCGAGTTGTTACAGTTTAAACCGAAAATGTCCCCCATAAGTCTGTGTGTTCAGAGGCGGGACTTTTTGAAGGTGGTTTGATCATGGGGATGCTGTTCTCATCCCATTACTCCACTGGATGAATCTATAGCTGAAGGTGCTGCTAAAAGGTGGGGCCTAGTCAGTCCAGGTAGGTCACCAGGGGAGTGACCCTGAAGGGTGTGTTTCTGTCCCCACCTCCTCCTCTCTCTCACTCAGCTTCCTGGCCTCCATGCCTTACCCCTCTGCCACGCCATTTCTAAAATGGAGCCAGCCAACCATGGACTGTAACCAAGCCAAAGCAAACTTTTCTTCCTTGAAGTTGCTGGTGTCAAGATCTTTGCCCAAGTGACAAGAAAAGTGACTGAGACTTAAGTCACACTTAGCTCCCTCTCTAATCATCAGGAGACAATGATTTTGACCTTGTCCCCTGCTTGAAGATCTGAGGAGAGAGGGCCATGTCTGTTACTCGTCACTGTTTGCTCAGTACCTGCACAATACCCAGACAATGGGAGCTCTCAAAAGGCATTTGCTGAATGAATGAATGAATGGATGGATGGATAGCTTTGGACCCCATAGAAGTACCACTGCCACATGGAAATTCCCTAAGTGGTATATTCACTTAACAATCATAAAATTTAATAACAAAGGATATCTTTACATTCACACGTTCACAAGTATAGATATGTACTTGTTGAGAAGAAATGCCAGACATGTCAGTAGCTACCTAGCCAGACACTTGGGAACATGACCGGGGCTGCCTGACAGCCATGCCCCACCTTCCCAGCCCCTCCTGCTGCCTGTGTGCCTCTCAGCCAACGGAAAGGACGTGGCTTCATTACAACACTGACCAGCCGCAGGGCAGTGGTCATCAGGGTCAAGTCAGGGAGGTAAGAGTACAGCATGGGGCAGACCGAGGGTCTAAAGGGAGCCTTCAAGACCATCAAACTGACATTACATAAGGAAGCAGCAAAGATGATCTCAGATATGAGACCAAGAATTTCCCTGAGGTGGGAGGCAAAAGACCCCAAGTTCCAGCTGACTCTACCGCGTTCTGATGGTACAAATATAAACCTCAGAACACTCAATGGATGGCTCTTCTTTGTGAATGAGTGTTTGGAGAAAGTTTACACAAAATCCTAAGACACAGCTTTGTGATTTCCAAATGGATAATTATAAACTTTAAGTGCTGAGTATTTCCAGGAAATATTTTCTCAATTGCATCTAATTTACAAAACACTTGATACTTGCTACACAAAATGCTTTTGGCATAATAAACTTGAGTGTTTACTACAACCAGGATTCCTTGGAACTTCCTAAGGCCTAAATTGCTGTATTATGTATTTTCAGCTAAGACTTTTGCTGATGGTTGAATACAATGTTGTTGTACAATTCTTAAAATATTTTAGAACATTTTAGAAATCATTTATTATATTACATTTGAGGGAAGGATACATTAAAATGATTTTTAGACAAAATAATACAATTAAACAAACTTTAATAGTAAAAAACTATTTATACGGAGTGTGCTGTTTATTTTTTCAAAGACAATGAATTGTCTTTGAAAGAGTGAAAGAGCAACTCACCTTTGAAATCTCCCCTTCATGACCTTCCAGTTTGGCGAGGCATTTTTTTGTGGCTGTACTGTAGACTCTCGCTGTTCCTTTTTGAGAGGGGTGGGGATATACATCAGAACTTCAGATAGACATATGTAACACTTTGGCCCAACAACCTTGAATTACATAAATATCTGTCCTCTGACACACAGGCTCTGTGCTGTTTGTCTTCTTACCTGTACTGAGAGTCGGCCACTAAATCCTCTAAATGAAAGCTGCTCCCACTATGGAAGAGTATGAACAGGAGTTTCTCTTGGTCTCTGACCTTGTTTAGAAGAGGTAATAGATTTCAAGACAAAAGAGGAAGTGTAGGGCAAGAATTTAGAAAGAAAACAGATTTTAAGGAGAAAAGAGAGACCAGAGCAAGTTTCAAGAGGCAGGTGAGGAGCCAAGCAACAGACCCGCATGAGATGCCAGGTTGAGTTTCTGTTCAGTGGAGGTTCACAGGCCCTTGGTGCACTGCTCCTTGGAAAGGCTAGACAGCATGGGCGACAAGCAATCAGCTGGGGACAGTTCCCTTTGCACAGAAAGAGTAATACAATATTTCTTTCCTGCTATAGTCCCAGTGCCCAGAGGTGCCACAACATCATGGAGAAACAATAGAAAGATGCAGGATTGGACGGATGCATGGATGGATGGATGGATGGATGCATGGATGGACACATGGATGGAAGGGATGGAATGAATGAATAAGTCACTGGTATACTGGATAGATGAATGAGAAGTAATATGTAACTCTGTTCAGAATTAGGTATGAGAAAGATAAATGCACATAGGAAGAAAAAACATCAGTAGTGAAATTGTTGTAACAACAAAAGTTACAATGGATTTGGTCAGATGTTTTCTTACCACAAATTGCAGTACTACCTTAAAAGTAAAATTTCTTAATAAACTATTCTACTTACCTTTCTGTAAGTGTCAACATCAGCAGGAAGTAGAAAGAAATGAGCAAAGCAAAACAAGAACCCTGACATTTTAGAATGTGATTAAAAATATAAAAATTA